TATTACTAAGGAGTATATGTACTATAGTATAAGCTATATAGACTGCTGTAAATATTAGAATTGCTAGTATACCTATTTTAATAGATTTCTTTAGACTTCTTAACTAGCTTACTAAAGAGTTACTAAGATAATAGGATTATATATAATATAATCCTAGTAGTTATATGTTAAATAACTAAAGTAGTATGATTTCTAGTGATAACTAAGTGATTAGATGCTATAAGTTTAGCGAGGATCTTATATTAAGAGATTAAATATTAGTATAGTATACCTGAAGCTATTATTAGTAATTAAGATAAGTTAATTACTAGCTAGTTCTAGTAAGACTAAACTAAGGCTTAAGATATAGAAGGGTGTATCTTTACTGCGTAGTATCTATAGATAGATAGCTAAACTAAGAGAATATATTAAACCCTAACTGTATACCTCTTAAAGTTTAGTGAAGGCTTGTATGACTAGTAGGTAATATAGCTAGTTGAAGCTAAATTCTTATATAATAATAGTAGATATACTATTATTAGCGTGTTACTATTTGAGGCTTTTATAGGTTACTACCTTTAAATAATTAATTACTACCTACTAAGTGTTAAAATTAAAACCTAAAGGGTTAATAAAAAGCTTAAGAAGCTAATAGAGGTTTGCTAAAGGATAGCTGAGAATTAGTAATATATAACAGAAGTATAAGCTAAAAATGTAAATACTAAAAGGAAGGTGTAATCGTATAAGGTTAGAGATATTATAGGGCTCTTAATAAAGAACTTCTACTTTGTAAAAGGTTAGCAAAAACTCGTCCTGCGATTTATTCCTATGCTAATTATAGAGGTTGTAGGCCTTAACGCCTATAGAGTGTAGCTTCTAGAAAAATATAATAGGGCGTATAACGTCTTCTTAGTTGCTTTATTAGAACTGTAGTATAGCTAAAAGCTTACTAAAGGATAGCTTTTAGACCTAAAAGAGGATCTTAAAGAATAGGAAGTTAAGAATATTATGTTATAAAGGGATGTATTAGTAGGCCTCTTATATTTAGTTAAGTAGAAAGGCTGGCTGGTAGAATATAACACCTAGGAGCTTAAAGAACACTTAGTGAATACTTTATAAATCCTTATAGGATTTAAGAAGTAATAGTATAAGTTATACTATAAGTAGGATAATAAGTAGTATAGAGAAATAAGGAAAAGTTAATTAACTGTAGAAAGATTTTAAAAAAAACTACTCTTAAAAGTAATGCGTAAACCTAAAGGTATCTAACTAAGAACTCTAAAAAAAAGCTATTATATGCTTATTAAAGATTTACTGAAAACTACTAAGAATTATCCTCTAAGTTGCTTAAATCCTTACTAGTGCTATTACTATTAGGACTAGTATCTGTATTATTCTCACTATTACTGCTCTTACTTTCTAATAACTTATCCTCCTCTTTAGAGCTAATAAGATTTTTGCGAATACTTATGGAGGAGGTATTAATATCTTTATAAGTATTAGGTTAGGGAGTGGGGTTAGAGCTAATACGTTTGAGGATTGTAACTAGGGTGTACTTATGAGAATTATGAAGTATCTAAGAAGCTTGGACCTTAGAGGGATCTTAAGTAGGCAGGCTGGATATATAAGGGTTATTACTTAAGAGATACTTCTCTAGGATATTATTAAGCTTATTAAGGAACTAAGCTTAGTTAAAGATATAGCTTTTATCTTAGAGGTATTAAGGTAAGGTATTCTTAAGCTGAAAATAAGTCTACTTAATAAGGTTCTTATCCTTTTTTTAGTGAGTATTCTATAAAGAAACTATTAGCTGTTAAAGAAAAACCTAATCTAAGGGATTATATACCTTAAGCTAGATCTTAAGATATACTTAAGTGTGGTTAGTAGTAGTCTCTTTAGTGTTTATCTATAGTAGTTAGTTGTTATACTACTTGGAGTTAGGCTAAAGCTTAGTAGGGTTTACTAACTACTTATAGAGTGATAGGAGAAGTATCTGACTGTTTGTGATTATAGTGTGTATATAGTAGATCTTATGCTAATAATACTTGCTAGCTTTAATCTAGGCGGCATAGCGTTTCACCTAGTTCTAGAAGATTTAAGTACTATTAACTAAGTAGTTAGGGATTTAGTTATACTAATAGTTAGTTTAATATTTTAGTGAAAGGTTACTGAATACTTACCTTGTGATACTTAATATTATGCGAACGATATATCTAGTAGGTAGTATTACTTATGTTAGTGTAGGTATATACTACTCTAGTAGTTTAGTAGAGCTATAGGGTGTAAGAGATATAAGGCTTATTACTACCTAATTAGTTATGCTAGTAGGTATTACTATTCTTTACTAAGTTATTAGGCTTATATAACGCTAGAATGTGGGCGATTAGGGTCTTAGTACTTATGATGATTAGATATAAAAGTGGTGTTAGAAGGGGAAAGCTTTATGAAGGCTTAATAAAGCTTTGCGAAATGTGAAAGCTATTATGATATAATGTGATAAGGAGGAAAAAAAAAAACTAACTTTAGGTGGGAAAAAGGGTATTACTTTATAGATAGATATGAGGTATTATTAAATAGTTAGGGAGGTAGTTATAACTTTAGATAGAAAGAATAGTAGTTATTTACTATAGTAAGTGCTACTAAAGGTGAGAAGGTAAGTGTAGTGAATTAATAATAGTAGTTACTATTTAACGTTCTAAATAGCTTTATGATATGCTTATTTTAGAAGGGGGATAAATAGGATGAAAAAATGAAGTTATTATAAGGCTATTATTTAGAGAGGGCTTACTAAGTAAAGAATAAAATGTTTATAAGTAAAGAATATAAAACTTACTAAAGATAATTTCTTTCTTTAAGGAATAAGAGAGACCCCTAATGAAATTCTATTTAGTAGATAATAATAGTGCTAAGGGATAAGGAAGCTTTAGTGAATATGTAGCGGATAACTATTATATAGATAATAGAGATAACTTATAATAATAATAGTAACTATAAAAAAGCTTACTATAGATAATAGAGGTTTTTGCTTATTATTAGTCCTATTTTATAGTGGGGACTATTATGATTAGAAGGGGGATAATTATAAGGGTCTGGCTACTTGGACTGGAAGGGCTTAGGGATAGTTTGGCTAGACTAAGCTGAAAGGATAGAGAACTCTGTGGAGATAGGGTATAGAACCCTCTATAGCGAGGACTTAGTGAATACTTGCTGAAGAGTTAGAAAAGAAGATCTTAGAAGAAGTAAGTAAAAGTAGCGTAGTAATATTATACCTACCTTTTAGGTGCTTCTTCTATTAGTTTGACCTAACTGTGGCTTATAGCCCCTAAATACCTTTATAGTAATAAACTTAGTAAGGTATTAAACTATAGTACTTATTTATAATAAATATAATATTTATAGAGATTATATAGTAATAAGAGATATAGGTTATTAAGGCTATTAAAAAGGAGATTAAGTAATAATATACTATATTAAAAAAAGAAGCTAAGAGGTAAGAGAAAGAAGTATAAATAGAGTATATAGCTATAAAATACTAACTAATTAATAAGTATATAAAATAACTAAATTTTAAATAGTAGCTTACCTATACTAATAAAATTAATAACTATATACTATTTAATATAAAAAACTTATAATAGTATAAGCTACTTAAGCCTAAGTAGTAGATTAATCTTAACCCTATATTACTACTAAAAGAGACTTTAGATACTATTAAGTACTATATAAAGCCTCTTAGTTACCTTAATATTAGAGAGATACTAGCTATAAGAGGGCACTATATTAATAATAGTAACTTAAATATCTATAATAATATTAATAACCTTATTAAGGAGGATAGTAATAATACTACTTTAAGTATTAATTTAGTTAGTAACTTTAGAGTTAATAATAATATTATTAATACTAATAAGCCTAAGTTACTACTATTACTAATATTAGCTCTACTAGCTATATTAGTATTAGTAGTAGTATATTAAATATCCTATTTTACTCTATAAGAGGGTTTAGTATACTTCTATATTAATAGTACTATAGAGGGTAACCCTCTAATAATACCTCTATTAATATAAGTAATAAAGAAATAGAAATATATTATTAATAATATAAAAAGTAATAATATAATTATTTTCTATAGCTTATTAATACTTATATAAGATATATAGATATTATATATATAGCTAGATAGCCCTACTTAAGAGTAATATAATAATACTACTTTTATTACTATATAATATAGTTAAGGTTGAAAATTATATTACGAAAAGTTATTAATTTAGTGGGCTAATACTAAAAAATACCACTTTTAGTGATATAGGTAGAAACCCCCTTTTTTGCGTGGAAACCCTGTTTTTTCGCCCCCTACGTGAGTAGGGGGTCTAGCGTTAGCCCGCGCCGCTTGGACCCCCGGGTACGCACTGACGAAAATAGACCGTGTTTGAGCCGAACCACGCCGCCATCGTATCCAGCAACAGTCAGGCGCATGCAGAGGCTCAGATTTCATTTGAAGGAGGGAGTGCCTAAGCCTATCATACGTCGCGACACAGTGGAGGCGGCGTAAAACCGCGCAAATTAGAGATACCACCCGTCCATGTCCAGGAAGTCCCGTGGAAGATGAGGGCAACTCGTTATGAATCAAAGCTGCCCAAGGGGCATAGCCTAGCTACTGGCAGTGCCTTAATCAGCGATGCATGAGAAGATCCATGTTTGCCTCCGGCCGGCATGTTCTGCTGGTGACTCGGCGCTTATCATAAGCATCATTTCGTCTTGGGTACGGCCTTTTCGAAAGATTCTCCCTCTTTTTAGAAGCAAAGCGAGTCCCGATGTGTGATGATACTGAACCTCAGACTTGTCGTAGCCCCTGGGCAGCAAGCACCTGCCTGATCCTGGTAGGTACGCTGCTTTCCCGCAAGGTACAGAACCTGACCTCAACCAAGCTTGTTATTCAGAACTCCCTCTCTCTTATCGTACGTTCCCAACCTTCTCTTATCTGTCAATTGACTGCTAATCGAAACTGAGAACAGTTGCTGCACAAAGTTCAACAGCCCAGCCTGGACGATCGAGACCGATACGAGCCCCTGACGGCAGTGATACTCTCTGAGACCTTGAAGCTGATTGTTTGTGTTGTTGTGCTGGGCTTCGGAGGGACACCGCAGCTGGAAAAGGTCAACAGAATACAGCTGGTCGCCGATGATCTTCGGGATGGCCACCTGAAAGCCGCGGCTCCGGCTATACTATACACTATTGCGGCCGTACTGCAAAGTCTGGGCGCCCGGAATTTAGATGGTATGTCTTTTGTTGTTCTTTCGCAACTGAAGCTCATCTTGACGCCCGTCTTCTCTGTGGTTATTCTTCGGCAGTCGTTGACGATGTTGCAATGGCTGTGTCTCTTTACGATAGCCGCAGGGATTGTTCTGGTCCAAACCACAGCATCCTCTACCATGACCCTCGACTTGAGATACAGTCAAGATATAAGATTGGGGGCCATTACAATGTTGATATCTGGGACTTGTGTTGCTCTCGCTGGTGTTCTGATGGAATCAATCGTCAAAGTTCCCAACAAGTTCATTGTGCGCAACTGCCAGCTTGCGGTTTACGCGTGTCTTTGCGCGAGCCTGAGCCTTTTGATTCGTTTTGCAACAACTACCACAGGCCTTTCGAGGAATGATAATACACATTTTTTCCAAGGATATCATGCTCTCGTCTGGGTTTATGTATTCCTTCAGGCAGCAGGCGGATTTATAGTGGCTTGGTCGGTCCGTACCAGCAGTACTGTAGCGAAGAACCATGCTCAGGCAGTTGGGTTCACGATTGCATCCATAGGCCCGTCATTGCTGCCACCGCGGGTGGTGTCACTTCAGGTAAGCCAATATTTTTGCTGGCTGTAATTACTGTCTAACATGGTCATTTTTAGGCTTTTATTGGTGTTGGGTTGGTGACTGCTGGCGTGCTTGGCTCTTTGCGTCACTCGCAGAAACCAACGGCAACGGTATTTGATGTTGACAAATGCTATGGTGGGGAAAAGTCAATACCTTAACCACCGGGAGGCCTTGAGCACCTGGCATTTTCCTGTCAGCTAGGAAAATCTTCTCAAGTTCAATCAAGCAATTAATTAACCAAATATGAAACTATCACCACGCAATCCAGTCAACTGTAAATCTCAAACTTGTTGATGAATGGCCTTGACTCCTTTAACAGTGAGGTAGGGCCTTAGGGCAGCCTCAGAGGAACCGCGGAACTCCTGGAGAATCATTACCTAGGTAATCCAGGCCTTTTTACCTAGCCCAGCTCCGAGGGCCCTAAGCCGGCCCCAAAAGCAAAACCTAGCTCCGAAAGCCCCGAAAACCCGCCCCCTCTTCGGGCACCCCCCTTCTAGAGCCCTCGACTCTCAGGCCTTGCCTCTCTTTAGGATCCTCCACTATGTATGGGGATAATTGCCTATTGGCTGCAAGTTTTGGCAATCGATCAAGTATGGTATCGCGTTGTGGCAATCAATTCAAGTTGGAGCTTCAAACTTGAAAGACTGAGTTGCCCTGAGGGGGGGGNGGGGGGCGCGTTGTTCACGTCCGTTCTCAACACATTTTCATTAGACAGCTCTAGGTATAGACTTCAAGCAACGCATACCTAATCACATCATCATACATTGAACTGGCCTATCCAATATGGCATGCAGTTCGTTTGCTTTCCAGAATCAAGCAGCTCATCGACTCCCGTGAATTCCGACTTCGATAAACCCCTCTTAGAGTGGCTTAAATGTCGTCTTAGGTACGTATAAAGACTATTGGTGCTGTTAATTTTCCATTAGAAACCATCAGATATTGCTTACCTTACTGTCAGGGCTACCTATGGACTATCTGTTGCCTAGTGTGATGCGTCACTGGCACTAGTTCGTCAGGTCTCGTTCAACGCCTACTCCCCAAGAATACACTATGAGAAGCCAACACTCATAGCAATCTGCCCGGAAGAGATACTTATAGCTCTCCACATGGGACGTATCCCGATCTCAACCTTGAGAGTGGCATGTTTGGATGAGAGATGCGGACATAAGGGGCCGCGGAACGGAAACGGCCCAGTAACAACAGCCGAATTGAATACCAAGAAACCCTCACAGGTGGTTTTCCGTCTTTGTATTCCTTTAAATTATGCTAATGAGGGAAAAGAGATTTGGACCTTTTGGTCACACGTGCGAGCCTGATGCCAATATGTACAAGAAGAATGTTGGAAAGATGAACTTCCTTATATACATGCAATCAAGATTTACTCAACAGCCAGACAGCTATGTGCCACATCCAGACTCATGGACCATCGCCGTCTTGATCTTGTCAGCTTCAATCGTGGCTCCAGCACTTCGAGATTTTATATTGAGATATTTCACGGCTCAACGGCAATTCAGAGCGGCTTTTACTGTAAGAGCTAACTGATACACAAATAAAACTCCCCGAAAATAGCTTAGTTGAATGTACAATAACATATGGTAGGACGGTCCTTTCGCGTTCACGTTGGAGTTCCATCTACCATTCTTAGCGTTAAGGGAAGAACTGCGAGTCCCACAGGACAACAGGAAAAGACCAGATGGATCACCGTGCCGCAAAACTTTGGACTTGTCCTTTCTCACAGGCATTTTTTATTTTACTGGCGGCACAAACATGTCGTACTTTCTACATGAGGCTCAGACCTCACTTTTAATTGTCGGCAATGACAACCTTATCTGGACAGCGTATTTCTTCACTGACACCTACAATGGACGTCCTGGAGAGACCAACCACGAGGATTTGTCCTTTTATCAACAGCCTTCGGAGGGAGATGAATTGTTCTACGACCCTCTCACTATGGGACAACACGATGCCAATGTTTCCATCTGGGACCCAAGAGAATACTTCTGTCTCATAGTCAGGATACGGCTTGGGCTTATCAAAGAGGAGTGGGCTTACATCTCCAGCTTTTTCATGGAAAAGATTGGAGCTTCCGTAAGAGGGTCCCACCACGCATCTTTCTATAATGCAAAGAGCTTGACGTTGCTGACATAGCGTGTACAGAAACTAGACATTCCATCATTTCTCGAACCGACAGGTCTAGGCTCCGCTGAGGCTCACGCACGTGCCATCGAGAATGCATACGACTGGATCACAAAGGCAACGAGAATACTTCACTGCCTAACTAGTAACCTCACCAGAGTAATTCAGACGTGGTCATTCTTTGTCAAAGATAACATTCGTGACTTCCTCGAAGGAAGTTCCGAGCAGCTCAATTTATCTTACAGAAGATCAGAATTAGTATGAATGAGCTTCGCGAAATCCGTGCCGATTTGAACGATTTGATGCAAAAAGCAGAAAACTTTATCCATGAGGTGGGCATACACAAAACAGGAAACAGAAGATGGTTTCAGTCTGACTGGCTGAATAATAGTTGGAGTTATATGTTCCAGTAGCCGGTAACAAAGCAATCACCCTCCAACATTGGACATTCAACATAGTAGGCACCTCCCGCAGAAGTCTATAGGCATTCGATCTGACATGCGGAAACCCAGGTTCTATTCATGTCTTCAGGTGTACTATCGTCGGGGATCATGCAGTCGGACATTTTTATTTCAGACCTCGCATCCTCTGCTTTTTCGTTCTTTCCGCCATAATAGGCCTAGCAATGCTTGCTGTGAAGCCTCTTTCGTCGTATTTCCATCTCCTTCATCAAACAAAGCGCTTTCACCAGGAGTCAAGTGGTCACCATAATACATCGGAAATTGCCTTGATGGGTTCCGTTCCTTGGGATAACGATTACGTTCAGTCCCCACCTGCCATTTTTTGTGCATAAAAGGTTTCCTAAACCCAAAACGGATGAATACCACAGTGGTCCAAATTTACCGTCTCTTGGCTACTGACCCAAGGTCGTGACTTCCTTGCGATTGTGACGTTGCGACAACCGTCGTCGGTTGGTAACAGTGATATGCATACCTAGTAGTGCACCACCAGCAAGAGCTTGAGATGAATCATTTGAAAACATCTTTACCCAGGTCTCTCTCGCCATCACGAACGAGGCGGAGCGGCTTCATCCACGTGGGCCAGCCATGCCCTCGCATGTGCAGTTCTTTTGCCCAACGTTGGGCTGCAGCATACGTTAGTTCCATTCAACAGTTCGATTTAGGCTTTTCGCGGAGTAGCTGTGATGCGCACTTACTCGCAAGTAAGTCACCATGGCTTGAGCCGTAGAGTCAAATGTGCTTGCGATTCACCTCCATTTCGCCGATGCCACGGCCTTTTTCGTAACCCGGGTGACTCGGCTGACATGCATGATGTAATCACGCGGAACGGTGCTGCGCCAGTCAGTGTCGGTTGGTCCAATGGCTTTGAATTGATCTGCCCGAACGTGAGGGTGGAACCCGAGTTATCTTCGTTTGTCCTACGTCGCTCGAAAACCGATTACGAGGCATTCCCACACCGAACGTGCCCAAATAGCAGCCCAATGCCTACGTGGCACTGCTAGTTCGAATCATCGGACGAAATATGCAGTTGTATCCTTACACTCTTTTCTGGCGCAAGCAGTTCAAGTGTTTGTTACAAGCACTGCGCTCTTACGAGAAGGTGAATTTTGAGTGAATAATGGTAGTACCGTAATTCCCCTACAACCTCTTGCTAGTCACTGCTGATAGAGTGTGGTCAATAAATGTTGCAAAAGTGGTGTCTCAATTGCTAAGCAGCAAATGCGCCCTGTCTTCCCAACAACTTTTAAGGCAGAGCAGTCGTGAAGTTGATCACGGTAGTATATTATATACACCAACGGAAATTTTCATCATCTCTTCCAATTCGCCTGGCGACATTGAACCACGTGTCGGTGACTTTTCGCCTTTAGTTCCATCTCTGACTCTTTCCACTTTCCACGTCTGTCAATAAAACAAACTCCGCTTCGGAACGCTTTGGTGTCAGCCGGCGAGCGATGGCGTTTGAACCCAGCGTGTTGCCCGTTGAGTCCGTCGCACCAGATCCTGAGGATGCCCCAGACAGCTTTGATTTGATGGTCGTAAATGTGGCGCTCTTAGCTGTAAGTCCGGAGAGGAACTTGTAGACGGCAGGAAGGGATGCTGTGATAATCCCGGCGTACAGCTCAATGGTACTCCAGTAAGCGGCATCCACATAATCGTAGGTGATGCTATACTGTGTTAGCAAGTGTGTCCCACAGAGTCACAACTTGAAGCCTTACTTGGTGCTGTTGGCGAAGACTACGAGAGTGCGAAGACGAATGACACTCGCAATCGTGACACTGAAGCAAGGTTCAGTCAATAATGGTTCGAAGACACCCCACACCAGCTGGTGAACTCACAAGATTCCCAAAGAAAACACAACCATAACCATTAACTTCTTCTTCAGAGGCATCTGCAGAAGATAAAGTTGATGCAGAGGAAGTACCAGAATGATAACGTCCAATACGATGTTGAATGCTGCACTCAGCCAACCCTGAAGGTGGATGTTGTTGCAGCGACCGAGATGCTTCTCTTCCAGCTGCAGCCAAGCGTGGTTGATAGGCCAACACTGGAACAGTGTCGCGAAGAAAAAGGCCGCAGCATAAGCGAGAACAAGACCCATGGTGACCCAAATGGCCTTGCTGAGATTGTTATGCTGGAAGATGCGGTTCAAAAAGAAGAGGATTGACAGCTTGTTCATAGCCTGTGCTAGGAAGTAGAACAGCTCGCCAAGGAAATAGTACTGCGAGATGTGATGTCAACATATGCTCTTGGGAGGACCAAGTACGAACACCAAAACATGAAATATGGCATACCTCAAGCACGTTCTCAATGTTCTTCAACGGAAGAGTCCACATGTCCTTGCCCAAGCCATTGTCGACCACTGCAACACATGGTCAGCATTGCTTCAAATCAGGCATTCCCAAAAGCTTCTTACAAGTAAACGCGAAAACAGTCGGCGGGACGGTGAGAATAACACATGCAATGATTGTCCAGTCATCCCAGCCAAGCTCTCGACCAAAACCAGGCAGGGCAGAACAAAGACGCAGGATGAAAAAGACAAGTGCAAGAGCAAAACCAACACCTGCAACGAGGGGTGGCTTCAAGCTCTCGTCTCGCACGGGAAGACCGCACATGGTAGCGGAGCCATTCTTAGTTTCTAAATGCGACAGAACAGTCAGTTATCACCCTTCCGACTGATTGGATACCCCAGATGTGACAGGCAGGGACTTACTCAGGGCGTCCTCATAGTTGCAACCTTGCAAGACACAGACACTCAGGTTGGCATTCAGGGCCTCGTTCGTGCAAAGGCAAGTCGTGTCCGTGAGTGAACAACCTGATGTTGGGACAAGCTCAGTCAAGCAGACGAGCTGGTTACCAAAGTTGGTATACGATCAGCGACACCATTTTTGGTCGACGCTAGTGGGGGATCTAGCGTATGAAAGGGGCCAGTGCTTCATCGTCTACTTACTGCACATGCCGGGTATAACTTCTTCGCCATGGCCAGTGCTGCAGCTGCGGCTTCTGCATCTGTCTGGGCCATGGTGTTTGAAGCCATGAAGGAGGCGGCTAAAACCGCAAGCATGGAAAACTTCATGATGCCGGTGTTCTGGGTGACAGCAAATCGGGGACGCTCTCCAAAATGGCACTGGTCGCTTGGCAAAGGCCTTAAACGGGGTTAAATAGAAGAGGGCAAGCACAGAGAAAAGGGTTACTTGACCACTTAAATCCCATGTCACACTCTGTTGTTCCTCCATGCATGAAATTGCCTCGCAAACACTCCTTTGATCGGATTCCTGGGGCAAAAGCACGCAGCACTACTCCTCCAGGCCCTGCCATGCTCAAAGTCTTCCGCGTGAGGGCGAGTCATTCCGCTCTGACTTACGAAAGATCTGCCTGGATCGTCGCCCTGGCATGGGGACAAGACCAAAGGCCCAGCCAGACCCCGCCCAGCAGATGAGCACAACTGGATGTCCCTTGCACCGGCACTTGGGAAGAAGGACCGTGTCCTGTGGAGCGTGTTGGGCTGCCAGGTACCCGGCCGAATGGGAAGACATGCCAGTCAGTTACCATGGAGGCGGTATGTGCTAACGGAGAATTTGGACAGATAGCGCAAGAGATGCTTGTTGAAACGGTTTTCTGATCGTATCTGCGCCAACATCAAGACTTTCGAGAATTCTTCGGCGGGCCCTTTGTCTATCGTGCATGATCAACAACTCACGGGACATGACCAACTCCAGAGGGACGCGCTGGAACGCGTCTCGTATGCTTTGATACAGTTCGCCAAGTCATGTGCTTTCATCCCACGCATCCCACTAGCTCCGGAACTTCAATAAGTTTATTATTTGACAGCGGAAGTTTGATGGCGGAAGTCTTTAGTCCGCACCTCAAGCTTTGAGCACTCAAGTCCCGTGTCATCCGTTGTTCGCTTGCAGACCGCGTATCTTGGACTGCCCCTTATGCCGTATTTCCTGGATCCCGACCGTTGAGTGGACAGTTTGCTGGGCATAACCTAAAATGGATAGCACGACTCACGAGGTTGCACTCGACAATGGACGACAGCGGATCAGAAATTGTAAACTTTTTAATTTGCTGTGGGCTACCACGCCAGCCAAAAGAGTGAGATCTTCGGCGGCCTCCACCGGGATCATCCCGGCTTCAGCGAACTGGTGGCTCTGGTTCTGGTCCTGGTTCGGGCCGTAGTTGGTGGCATCGGACCACGGCCCTCACTGTGGCCAGTTGCTGAACAGACGTTTGGATGATGAAGCCAATTCCAAGACAATCGTTTCTCAATTTGCAATGGTTGCGCAGCGGGTGTTTCTCCCGGTCGAGCCGTTGCGATGTGGCTTGGAATGCCTTGTGCTCTATCCTAGCGTTGCATTTCTTCGTTTCGGTAAACCATCCCTGCTGATGGAGACCCTTGAGCCCTACGTTGTCGGCGCGTATGGCGGTGTCAGAATAGGCAATTAAGGTAGCCGATCGGGGTGTTTGAAAGCATCGCTTAGAAGTTGTCTCCTCATTCTTCAACGGCGTTTCCCGTACGCGAGGAGCACGCACTCGGGTCCCTGGCAGAGATGACGAAGAAGACCACGATGGACGATGGGGTTTGGAATCGACGGGTGGCTTGGGAAAAAGACACGACGAAGTCAGCTACGAAAACAACAAAGACAAACGTAATTCGACGAACAGCAACACCGAATCAGCCATTTCGGGTCGATCAGTGATAACGGACCCCGAGAACGCTCGCAGACAGCCTCTTTTGGTCTTTACTCATTCGTTGAATTTGACTTTGCGTCCTGGAACTCGCAGTTGTTCGCATGCGCCCCGCCTTAGTGTGGGATGCCATGCCGTGTTGGCCGACTGACAAGAAGACAGGGGCCACAAGAAGAACGAAGCCCCTCGGACTACCCCCTGTTCTTCTTTCCGATTTGGGCAGAGCTCTTCTCTTACGGGGGTTTCAAGGGGTTGCGTGAGTGTTGATGGGGCTTGACTGGGGGCCAAAGAGCGTTGTAACGACAATGGCACCCGCCAATGAAAATTGCGCGAGGGGATGATTGTCATATTCTAGAAATGAACTCCTGCTGGATGGGTTGTCAGTTAATTTGCTGCTTTTCGTAAGTCACTTATCACATCAGCAGTGCCGATCAGCGGGTAAGTCGTCGAGAATGCAGCCCGGAACTTGGGAAACCACCAACCATACTTAAGATCCAATCCCGATGATACTGCAGCCTTGGCTCTTGAGACTTACTCGTTCTCACCAACTCACAGCCTTTGGGCGTCCGTCACTCTTTTTATCCAACATATTCCACCGGCTATCGCACCGGCTAGTCATTCATTTATAATAATCTGCGTTCGTTTTGGAACCTGCTCCCTGTCGCCATGAAGTTCCTCGCGCCCGCTGTGGCGCTCATTGCGGCAGTCAATGCTGCGTAAGTCTTGACTTTTCCTATCGTCGTCAGGATAATGCTCTTTCACGATGTTGGTGGGTGTCTTTGTCATCACCAACGTGGCTGCTTCGTTCACGGATCTTCAAAGTTGTCGGCACTACTGCGGATGCTCCAGTCTCCGCCTCCATCGAACTACCCTGTTATCTTTGGTCTCCGCTATCGGCGTTGCCCTGATCTTGTTTCCTCCTTTCCTCTATCTTCACTCTGTTATCACCGACTGTTTTATTCTCGTTGTGGGGTGAATCCTCATCGGCATAGCATCGATTGTGCCCAACACCTTTCGTCGTCATAGTTATGTTGCGCATCCCTTGACTTACATGATATTGCAGTTTTGATGAGCCTCTCGGCCCTACCATCACTGCCAAGGGCCCGGTAGCCAACTCCACCTACGACTATGTTGTCGTCGGCTCTGGTCCTGGAGGTGCTCCTCTTGCTGCCCGCCTGGCCTTGGCCGGCTTCAGCGTCCTGTTGATGGATGCTGGTGAGGACAGAGGAGAGGATGCCGCCGTTCAAGTGCCCGCTTTGCACGTTTTGGCATCTCAGCATGAGCCCATCCAGTGGGATTTCTTCGTCAACCACTACGAAGATCCTGTCCAGGCTCAAAAGGACACCAAGTTCTCCTGGAGAAAGACAGATGGCGAGATCTACGTCGGCACAAACCCGCCTGCTGGCTCCGAGCCTCTGGGTATTCTGTACCCTCGCGTTGGCTCTCTTGGTGGCTGCGCCCAGGTTTGTGAAATCATTGATACCTCACTTTGGAAAAGCTTACCGATCGCTAACAAATTTCTAGCACAATGCTCTTGTGACTATTCTGCCGCAGGACAGTGATTGGAACAACATTGCTACCATCACTGGTGACAATACCTGGGAGGTCAGTAACTCTTCAAACATGCCAGGGAAATTCGAGCGCTAACTTAGAGGCAGGCAGACAAGATGCGCGAGTACTACAAGAAACTCGAAAAGTGCCACTACCTGCCTGGTGGTAAGTCTGCACCCCTCAAATGACAACCTCATGAGACTAACATGTTTCCATTTTAGGCCTCGACTCGTCTGTTCACGGTTACGATGGATGGCTCGAGACCCAGACAACCCCTGCGATTCTCATTGTCGAGGACCCCAAGGTTCTGTCTCTCGTCCTTGCCGCTGCTACCACCATGGGAAAGAACATCTTGGGCAAGATCATCACTACTGTTACCGGTCTTCTTGAGATTCTGGTCGTTGATGTGAACAACGATGCCCCCAGCCGTGACAAGAACGACGACATCTACCAGATCCCCCTCGCCATGAAGGACCCTTCCTTCACCCGCTCGTCTCCTCGCGACTTCATCTACGACGTGTACACCGCAAAGAACGCAGACGGCTCCAAAAAGTACAAGCTGGACCTGGCCCTGAACACCCTGGTCACCAAGATCAACTTCGATGAATCTGACGACAAGCCCAAGGCTACCGGCGTCGAGTACCTCTACGGAAAGAGCCTGTACCGCGCTGATCCCCGCGCGACCAAGGAGGACGGCGGTGTTCCTGGCCGCGTCTTTGCCAGCAAGGAGGTCATTGTCTCTGCCGGTGTCTTCAACACCCCCCAGCTCCTCAAGCTCAGCGGTATCGGCCCTGCTTCCGAGCTCAAGTCTTTCGATATCCCGGTCGTCAAGGATCTCCCTGGTGTCGGCGGCAACATGCAGGATCGCTACGAGGTCGGCATCGTTGGCAAGGCTCCCACCGACTTCGCCCTCCTCAAGGACTGCACCTTCTTGGATATGAACGGCACCCACAACGGCGAAGACCCCTGCTTCACCAACTGGCAGAACGGCGTTGGCGGTCTCAAGGGCGGCTACACCACCAACGGCATTGCTTTCGGCTACTTCAAGCACTCTTCCGTTGCCGATGCCGACCCCGACCTGTTCCTCGGCGGTGTCCCTGCTTACTTCAACGGTTACTTCCCCAACTACGCCGAGCACGCCCTCGCCGATCTCAGCGTCTGGACCTGGCTTACTCTCAAGGCCCACAGCCGTAACAACGCTGGCACTGTCAACCTGACCAGCGTCAACCCCCGTGACACCCCCAACATTACCTTCCGCAGCTTCTTCGAGGGCGTTGGCGGTGAGGAGGATCTCCAGGCTGTCTACGAGGGCATGAAGTACGGCATTGAGGCTTTCGAGAACCTCATCCCTCTCGACGGCTCGTTCGAGCGCATCTGGCCTCCCAAGAACGTCTCTTCCGAGGCTGATCTCAAGAAGTTCGCCCAGGATGAGGCTTGGGGCCACCACGCCTCTTGCACCGCTCCCATTGGTGCTGATGATGACCCGCACGCTGTTCTCGACTCCAACTTCAAGGTTCGTGGCGTTGACGGCCTGAGAGTTGTGGATGCCTCCATCTTCCCCAAGATTCCTGGCCACTACATTGTTCTCAGCATCTACATGGCCAGTGAGAAGGCTGCCGATGTGATCATTGCCGAGGCCAAGTCTGCGTAATTTGTCGTTCCGCATGCAATTCGCATCGAGGGCCAGTCTCAATCCAGGTTCTGTTGCCAGATTCGATCTAGTTGTCTTAACACCAAATAAACACATTTTTAATTCAAACCGATAATTTCGTGATTTCCTAACCTTCGTCCGAAATGAAACTTTGATCAAATTGCCAATCTCTTCAGGCAGACCTACATGATTATTGAAATTAAGCATACTCTAGAGCAAAGTTGAAGATGAGAATGAAGGTTGAAAAATCAACCATACGGTCAATTACGATAACATGGAAATCGGTCTTACGCCAGCGTCAAAAATGGAATTCACCATACCCACTCAGATTGTGATCCCTCTGACTCACATTACTATGATCACATCTCCATGATCGCAAGCCGTAAATCGAATGGAACTTAGATCGCTTCCTTTGTGGGTTATTCTGGCGACATCACGATTATCTACTGCGTAGTAAACACGAGCCGGTCCACTGAGTTTAGGGAGCGGTCAATAAAATCTAACCTAACTCGGCCAAGAAAACCGTTGAATGAAGATCTGCCAACGACCCTTGCAAGCGCGATGCAGGAACAAAGTCATTTGGACAAGTCCGGGGTGTCTCCGAAAGTCCGGGGGTCTCGCTGGGGGAGCATCGGAATACTACATCAAGACCAAGGAACTCGCCTCATTCTGGAGCATGTCGTCTGACTTTCGAACTTTAACCCGTCGGCAGACACACAAGTCAGTGAAGAGTCAGAATGATCTACGGCAGCCAGAAGACCGGGGCAGTTCCGTGTCTGGACCTCCTCACCCTCCTCTTCGGTAAGTCTCCGTGCGACCTCAATCGGAAGGCATCGTGAGTGCTAAACTTCCACGTCACGACAGACTCCGAGCACTGCCTCGCAAAGGAAGACACGCCACTCCACGCCGAGGCTGAAGAGCCAACCAAGTCTATCAACAAGTCCGATGCAAGGCTTCTCGCCAAGCAAATCGCACACTTGCTTCGGGTCGAATATGCGATAGGCAAAGATGGCCAGGGAAAAGATATCGTTGCATCCATTTGCAGCGGTCAGTCACGTTTACCGTGCTTTTTCTTCGGCGTTGTCGCTGCTGGCGGTGTCTACTCAGCCGTGAGCTCAGCAATCACTTCGAATATCGACAGTTTCAAGAATGTTCTTGCCGACCCAGAATTCAAGGTTCTGCTTTGCAGCGCCGACACGAAAGAGTTAGCTCTGAAGAGTGGCTTGAAACCCTCCAACATCCTCGTCTTGCAATCCCACCCCGAAATACAGTTGAAGAGTGCTGATGGCAATATCCAATGCAACTTTGCAGCCACGGGACCAGAGAATCTGTTGAATTGGAAGAAGGTTACGGATGCGGATGAACTACGGAAGACGCCAGTTTGCCTGATTTACTCGTCAGGCACCACTGGTGTCCCGAAAGGCGTCCTCATTTCGCACGAGAACATGGTTGCAGAAGCAGTTCTTCCTTCGACCATCAACCGGCGTATCTGGAATGGATGGGCTGAGTCCGGCAAACTCGTTGGCGAGCAACCTCTATCCGACGGGTACAGAACCCTCGCACACCTTCCACCTGCCCACATTTCCGGCATCCAAGGCTATTTCGTCAACCCCTTTCTCGACGGCGGCATAGTCTACTGGGTCCCAAGCGGACCATTCGACATGATGAAGTTCTTGGGTTACAACAAAAACCTCAAGATCACGACCTTCTTCACGGCCCCACCCATCTACGATGGCATCGCCAAGCTTCCTCAATATCGGCCAGCCCTGGTTGACGGGGCGTTCCGATCTCTTCGCGTGGCATACAGCGGTGGCGCAGCGCTGATACCTCAATCCCTCCTCGCGGCCCGAGCCGACCAGGTCCTGGGAGATGCGGAGCAGGGCAAGCCGGTCTTGATCAGCCAAACCTGGGGCGCGACGGAGACTACAGGCGCAGTGACGCACATGCCGCCTGATAGGGCCGGCTGGGACACGCTGGGAAGTGTGGGAGCGCTTCTCCCGGGTGTGACGATGAGGCTTGTCGATGAAGATGGCAGGGACGTGCAGCCAGTGGGAGAGGCTCTCCTGAAGGGCCCCACGGTGATGCTTGGGTACTACAAGAACCCGATGGCCGACAAGGCGGCGTTCACAGAGGACGGGTGGCTCCGGACGGGTGACTCCGTGAGGGTTCAAGATGGGCTCCTTTATTATGTGGACCGCATGCAGGTGAGTTTGCAATATTCTCCGGCGTCTCTTTGATCACTTGCAGCCCGGTTCTTCCACCTGAAACGACATGGGAATCGGATGCATCCGAAAACATCCACTTAGTCTCTGAAGGTGTCAGGATGTTTGCTAATAATACTCCTTGTCTAGGATGTCATCAAGAATGGAGCCTCTCGCGTGTTTCCTTCAGAGCTGGAGACAGTTCTACGGGAGCACGCCGCTGTATCTGATGTTGCAGTGATCGGTGTGCCTCGTGGCGATCAGGGGAGCGTACCTAGAGCTTTCGTTGTCCTATCCCCACAGGCTACTAGCCAGGGGCCAATGACCGACGTCATAAAGCAGCAATTAGTTGAGTTCGTTCAACACAAGACCGGCAAGGATCTAGCTGGAGGTGTGCAGTTCGTCGAGGCCATTCCCCGAGCCCCTGTAGGAAAGATCTTGCGTAGGGAATTGGAGCAAATGGCCGAGTAGATTCAGAAATGGGGGGTTTCAGTCGGAGGCCTTTTTTCGAACTGTTCCCTATCACGAATGGAAGGCTATCGTCGGTCACGTCTGGATGTGTTCTTGATTCCTTTATTGAACTAACAACATGCGTTTATGTGTCTTGGCGGCGCGGACCCAGGTTGCTGCCTAGCGACATGGACCAACGCTGTTAGCTGGCTCTTAGATATAAATCATAGAACATAATTCACGGCATGATTCAGCATTGTGTCCTGCCTTCTCATCTCAAACCTTCAGCTGCCTAGTCGACACCCTGCACCAAATGTCCGAAGTGCGTCCGCGAAGACCATCAACTGGCGGCAAGGCCCCAACCATGGTTCATGTTCGTCTCGCCATCGAAGAGGCACCAAGCCACGACAGTACACCCTGCTTCAGCATATGCCCTCAACCTCCCTAAGAAATGGCCTCCCGTAACACGTCCCACCTCCCAACGTCCCAAGCGCGCCCTGCAGATCTACGACACGACGCTAGGTTCCGATGACGCAGACCACCTCAAAGCCTTGGCCGGGAAACTGTGCGGCAGACTGAACATGTGCAATTCGGACGAGGAGACCCATATCGACGTTTGGGGCATGCCACTTCCTCTCGAGGCACCCGATGAGGATAGAGTCGTCAAGTGCCATGCTCACTCTACGGTCGAAATTGTCTGGCGGAAGATTGTTAGTAACGGGGAGTTTCGGGTGCCACCAGGCAAGTTTGTTCCCCAGTGACATCGAGTCATGCTCATTATCGATCGGCCCATGAGCCGGGGGGATGGAGACGAAGGCGGAAGCTTGACGGTGGGATGGGATCCTCGCGATCAGGCACGCGAGGGTGATTACGATGTAGTGCCGGAGAGGAGACAGATTAGCTACAATCGTTGCCAGTTGACAGAGGAGTTGGAGAGTCTGGTCTATGGCCTTCGTTGGTGATTCAGTAATTCACTTGAGAAAACGGCATATTATATCATCAATAGCTCCTCTGAAGTCCTACAGTCGCCTTCATACACGACTCATTCCTTATTATTGAGTTTCGAAACATACTCAATCCTCTCCAAGACGGGCCTGTTGTCGAGGAAAACCTGGAACCGAGCCAGCTTCCCAGCCTCCTCGCCATCCGTAACGAGGTGAGCGAGCGCAGATGCAGGGATCGTAATCGTTTGGTTTTCGGGGTCACCCTTGGCTCTGTATGATATTTCGACAGTGAACCAGACCTTATTGTCTACCTTATCTGCATTGAGGCGTGAGATCCAGCTCTTGAGAAGGCGTGAAGGGAGCAGAGACAACCTACCAAAGGTGACAGGCACATGTTTCATGTACGAGAGAGCACTGAAGGCGGGCACAAAGCTTTGCTGGATCTCTTCAATTCCGTGGAGGACGGGGCTGTTGGCGAACTGTAGCTGTGCGTTCTTCGCGAAGATCTTGGGGTGCTCCGTGATGTCCAGGGAGTCAAATGCCACGAAGTTCTGCGCAATATAGTTAACTTCTCGATCACTACCAATACGGACAAGGCCGGCGCGATTTGACAGACATTCAAGAGCCACGCCTCAACTTCATCCGGCGTGTTTGGCAGCGTCGATGGAACAGCACTCATGTTGATGAAGTAAGCTCGGATTATGAAGCCGAATTAGACACGATTTCTGGCGAGACAGTGAATGAGCATGTTTTTCTAGTGTGTAGGTACTTCTTTTATACTTTAGCAGGCGCGCCTGTATGCGAGGTTGACACCATCTTCCCGCAGCAGTCAGCTTACAAATAATTCTGATTGGAATCCTACCAGAGTGGGCTGCGCGATCCTTTCAGCCCTGTCCCCTCTTAGCTTAGAAATCCAAACCCCCCAATAGTTCCCCCCCCAACCTCCCCCTGCCGACATTATCTCAATGGCGTCAATATAACGCCAGATGATTAGTGTGCTGACGCGTATTTAGCCGGCCCGTCAACTAAGATTTCCCCCGGGAACGGGATCTTGGCTAGTCCTCGGGCCCAATCCAGCGCCAGAATAGGCGCCGTTTCCGCGTCCCTCGACCACCGCAGCTTCTTGACGAGGTTCCCCAGCCGGCGCACGGCGTGGCGGTTGCAGGTAATGGTGGTGTAGCCTGTCTTCCAGCCGAACAAGAAGGACGAACAGTTCGTCTCGTTCAAGGTCGGCTCTACTGCGAGTGCCACCTTCGGCAACGTGCCTTTGACGACTTCGTCCTGGACATGTGCTCTTCGGAAGTCCTCGACAATGCGAATTGGCAGTTGTAGATCTGCTGGTACGGGATGGCAAGAGTATTTCTCTAGCTGGGCGATGAGCTTCTTTCGACGCTCCTCCGTGGCTGGGCTATCTTTTTCAGACAATGGCCAGCCGTCTTGCTTGAGGACGCGTGCGAGGAAAGACATCTTGTCATCCTGCTTCCCTCGTAGGGTTTCCTGGCCCAGGAGGATTTCTAACCTGGCGACTTCGTCTTCGGTGGAAGCGTCGTAGACCATGCGCAGACATGTCTCTGCAGCTTCGCGGGTGCAGACAAGGGTGTGCCCTCGCAAGATGGGGTAGAGGGAGTTTCCAAGGCGCGGTCCATGCTCAGCCTCGTCGGTAACATCTTCGAGGATCTTGGGGCGCCATTTCCTCTGGGAGCCATGATTATGGCAAATGTCGGTGGTTAAAGCGACGAAAATAGAGGTGTCTATGTTGAGAGTTGGTGTCAATGGCGGCGGGTTCATCGAAGTCCCAAGGTCCAGCAGGTTCGTTATAGCAGTCTCCAGGGGTGGAGGAGCGTTGTGTGTTGTCTCGGCACACTCAATGACTAAAGAAATCCGGTCGTCCCCTAAGCTCTGCACTCCTCGTAGAAACCTGTCGATTGCCGGCTGGCGGCCGCTGTAGATATTTGGTAGGACCATCCGGATACGATGGCTGTAGCCTCCGTGAATCTCTCGAGCTGCGAGTAAAAGTGACTTCACAGATTTTAGGATTTCAATCTGCGTTTCGTCGTCGTCAATGACTTCTTGCAAGTCTAGATCGTCATCTTCGTCATCTGGTTCGTCCCAAGGAAAATCTGCCTCGGCCATCTGGACCAGCAGACCCCTTTCCGTGGTACTGAGAACCCTCAGCCACTCATGGCCATTGTCTACTATGGCACTCACGAAGACTGAGCTCTGCCCAGAGGCGTCGGTCTTGCTGTACGGCACGGCATAACGGAACCACGTCACCGACCGACACTTCTTGATAGCCACCCAATGGTTCTCATAAGACGACAGCTCACCTTCGAGAAGCCTGAAGTCGCGATGAAGAGCCCCTTCGGCCTCAGGCTCTTTCAGCGGCTCCCTCGTGCGTTGCAGAAGCGCTTCTGCTCGGGTTTTCTGGTTCGCGTTTGACTGCCAAAACGTGCTGAAGCCGGGAATGTATGCGTGCCAGTGGTTGTTAACCTTCTCGGCCTCTTTTTCGACGGCGGATCGGAGCAGATCCAGCTCTACGCAGAGCATTGCGCTGCGGTTGAGAATGTCTTCGGCTGCCTCGACAAAGCTTTCGTCGATATCTGAAGTTGCGACATGCGGCGGCCTGCCATCTGAGACCCGACCATCTTGATGATCTGGCTGAAGCTGGATGCCATGCATTTTTGCTGATGTAAAAGCCAAAGATAAGGGTGAGATGTCCGTCCTCGTGCTTCTCGGAGGCCTTGTAACGCCTTCACCGACTCAACAGCAACTGTTTTATTTGTAATTTTGCATGAATGGGTCTTAAAAATGTCTTTTGAAGTTCAGTTTGTCGTTTTTGGGTGGTGAAAAGGGTTGGATTCCACCAGAGAGGTTGCAGGTCGGGCGGGTTCGCGTCTTTGTGACGATGTGGATGAGTCATGACATGGTGCAGACTGCCGATGTCTTGGGCGTTATAAACCAAATTCTACGAGCAAAAAGTGGTCAACAGCTCAGTAGACATATATAAGAGTCGTGCAAGCAGTCGAAAAGTCTAAGTGATGTGGTCTTCGGGATATTGGATGTGAACGATGCATGTGTCGACGGAACATGACGATGATGACCGTTGAAGCCTGGAGTGGAACACCCATGGAACAGCGGAGCCCGAAGGCACGTAGCGAGTGCTTTAATTGGATGGCGGAGGTGGATTGTACGGTGCGACCACAGGAGCTGCTATTGGGCACTGTGGAGATAGGATGACATAATCCGAGAAGCTTTACGTGAGCCATCCTTCCTCTTCCTCCGACGTTCACGATCGCCTCATCCCAAACAACCAGGGCCAAACACCCCATCTCGGCTGACTATGCAAATCGCATCGAGTAAAACAGGATCATTATCGTCATCATTAAATCTGTCTAAAAAAATAACACCTTGTTTCCCGGTGTACACCACTGGTATATGGCTCGCTTATGCTGCTTCCATGCAATTTCTATGCAACGCTTGCAATCGACCACGACTCAACAACATCGGCAAGCGTCTGGTCGCTTCCGACGTTACCTGGGAATACGACGTACGGCACTCCGCGATGCCTGCTCGTTTCCTCGTCACACCTCCACAAGGGCACGCCCGGGGCGGCTTGGCCCAGGATGCGCGCTCTCCTCATCTTCAATCCCTTCGTCGCCGCGTCGGATGATGTGATGCCACCCTTGGCGATCAGATAGCGCGGCCTGACGTCAATCTTCTCGACAAGCTGGACCAGCGCACGAGCGACCTTGGATCCGATCTGGAGCGAGCTGAGGGCATCGTGACCCTTGATAAGCTCTCGGGACGTCATGACGAGAACATCCTCGCCCGCGCTCAGCTTCTTGCTGGTTTCCGTGGCTGCAGCATCGACGACCTTCTCAGCTGCCTCATCGGATGCGACCAAATCAGCAACGTCCAGCTCGATCACGGCTAGCTTGTCGCCCCTCCTCTCCCGAAGGACCTTTAGCTGGGCTGTCGTCTTCGGCACGTAAGACCCAGCGACGATCAGCCCACCCGGCTGCTTGGGCTCGGTGACTGACACTCCGAGGTCTGCCATGGTCAGCGGCGGAATGCCCGTGATGCCGAGACGCGACGAGACAAAGGCAGCACCGGTACGGAATAGGTATCGCCTTCCGCTCTTGTTTGCCTCGAGCAGTCCTGCCACGAAGACGTGCATATCAGATTCTGCAGCGGCATTGACGATGACGACCGTGTTGGATCCTGCAGCCGCTGAGAGGAGCTTCTTCGCAACGCCGGCAGGCCCACCGAGACGGATGTCGTCGAGAGTCACCGAGAGGAAGGAAGACTCGTCAAACCTGTGTCCACACTTCTCGAGGATGTACTTGCGGAGGTTTGAGTTCTTGTATCCAAAGGTGGCATCCTGCGCGAACGGTGTGTGGCTGGCAGGCACGAGAACATCCCCCTCCTTGACATAGTGAACGTCGTTGATGGTCAATCGCCCACCCTGGAAGAAGAAGGGCGTCACGACCCACGCATCAAACTTGCCCAACGCCTCCTCAGCGGCCTCGGGCTCCTCCGGAAGATGGCCACGAAGAGTGGAGTCGCCTCTGAGCACAATCTCGAAAGCCTTGCCGGCCTTCGCAGCAGCCTTCTTCACGTTGTGGCAGATCTCAAGGATCAACTGGCGCGCCTCGGCGGAGGGAAGAGCGCGCGAGTTGGTCAGAATGAAGAAGCCTTTGGGGTTGAGGCTGAACTCGTAATCCAGGGTCGCGGCATCCCAGACAGTCAAAACATCAATGTCGTTGCAGGTCTGCGTGCCTGTTGGGTCGTCGTCGAGCGCGATAAGCACAGGGACTTCGCCGTTGTTGACAACCTTCTGGGTCGAGCTGATGACATCGTCCGAGTACTCAGCGGGCAAGGCGTCGAGCGTCTTTTGGGCTGATAGAGCCTCGTCTTGGTCTACGACCGGCGAGGCAAAGGCATCGGTCTTGTTCTCCTGCTTGGGCCCAGCGTTACCAGACACAGAGATGCCGGTCAGCTCCCATAGCCTCACCACGCCAGCATCGGATTCTTTCGTCCAGCCGTGAGCAGCGCCGGAGAGATACAGAGTGTGGGCGGCGGACGAGATCGGGGCGAAGTAAGTAAGGCGCTTCGCCTCGTCAAGCACAATACCAAGATCCTTGACAAAGATTGCCAAGGCGGAGTGCGGCGTCCAGTCGGCATCGAGCATTTGAGGTACCCTGTTCTCGAACATCCAGCTCCAGCCAGCAGCGTTACCGAGCAGGTCAAAGACACGTCTTGTGTCCAGGCCCAGGCGAGCAGCGAGGGCCATGGCCTCGGCAGCAGCGGCGATGTGAACACCGGCGAGCAACTGATTGATGAGCTTGACAGAGGATGCAGCTCCAACACCGCCCTGGACATGGCAGAGGTTGCTGGAAGTTCCAGTCATGGCCATCAGGGGAGCGTTGACCTTTGAAATGATGGCATCGTCGCCAGAGCAGATGATAGTCAGGGTGCCGTTCGCGGCACGAACGACGCCTCCACTGACAGGCGCATCGATCAAGCTGATGCCCTTGCCGAGGTTGGTAAGCTTGCTCTCAAGCTCCCGCACGAATGATGGCGGTACCGTGGAGCTAAGGATAACAATGGCACCATCCGGGAGTACTTCAGCAGCCTTGCCAGATCCAAACAAGGCATCGTCAGCCTGGGCGGCATTCT